CCCATTATGGCATGCTCTTCTCCTGCAGCTTTCCCCATTATGGCATGCTCTTCTGCTGCAGCTTTCCCCATTATTACATGCTCTTCTGCTGCAGCTCTCCCCATTATTACATGCTCTTCTGCTGAGGCTTTCCCCATTATGGCATGCTCTTCTCCTGCAGCTTTCCCCATTATGGCATGCTCTTCTGCTGCAGCTTTCCCCATTATTACATGCTCTTCTGCTGCAGCTTTCCCCATTATTACATGCTCTTCTCATGCAGCTTTCCCCATTATTACATGCTCTTCTCCTGCAGCTTTCCCCATTATGGCATGCTCTTCTCCTGCAGCTTTCCCCATTATGGCATGCTCTTCTCCTGCAGCTTTCCTAATTATTACATGCTCTTCTGCTGCAGCTTTCCCCATTGTCTCGCTCTTCTGCTGCAGCTTTCCCCATTATGACTCGCTTTTCTGCTGCAGCTTTCGCCATTATGACTCGCTCTTCTGCTGCAGCTTTTACCATTATGACTCGCTCTTCTCCTACAGCTTTCCCCATTATTACATGCTCTTCTGCTGCAGCTTTCCCCATTATGACTTGCTCTTCTCCTGCAGCTTTCCCCATTATTACATGCTCTTCTCCCCACTTTACTAAAATATATCCTCCAGGGGGTAACCTGCAGGTTTTCTCGTTTTTTTTTAAATTCCTGAAACCAAGAAACATTCAGCAGACCTGAAGAAACGAAGTGAAAAGGCGCGAGGTGCTAAAAGAGCATTATGCAGGAACCCAAAGAAGAAGAATAAACTAACACAGATTTAATGTCGTCTGTGAGGATGATTTGTCAGCTAACAAGGCGAAAGAACCTGGATAATAATTCTGACATTCTCAGACAATAAGTATGAAGACAAAACTTCGCCGTACACACTAAAAGCGCATTGCCTGGCATTCTCCGAGTGTGGGGAAACATTCAACCTTACCAACAACTTTGGCTTATCTGTCCACTGTAGAATCAATACAACTTTTATGCATTGTGCTGATTCGGGCCTTGCTACGAGGCATTGTGGAGAGCTGCAGCTTTTGTCCTACTGTCACGTGCGTTCTGCTGGCCAATGTGAGCCTGTGACGGTCGTTGTAAGGTGTTATCGATCCATCTTCATCACAGTGCAGACTTATCATCGCCAGTGTTACGTTTCTCCCCCCCCCCCCACCAGCTCACTGACCTGTTCTTTTACAGCTGTGTGTGCATGATGTTGATTTGCAAGTTCCAGTCTCTTCAGGTGATATAACCGCTTTAGCTGCTTCTTAAACTACAATGTTTACTCATTATTCTTCTCGTTATTTTTTCTTTTCAAGCTTCTTATCTGACATGTTGTGATCTTTGTCACGCGCCTTGGTTTAGAACCGTTCTGTCAGTAATGAATAAGCTGGTGATCAGTTTTGTCTGTTCTTTATGGAGTTTTTATTTGGAAATAGTCTATTTCTTGTCCCGTGTTCACCCGCAAAAGGTCAGTTGTCACGTTGTGTTGTAATATATTGATAGACTGGGCATTCGTCACAAAACGTCTGTCAGCCTATTCTTTAGTCGCCCTTTACGACATGCTTGTCAAGGAGCAGCACCTTCCCCCTCCCAGTGGAGCGGGGATTTGTCTGATCAGTAATGCGTAAGGGGGTTGCTAAGATTAGGGCGTGGCATACTGTGACCTTGTGCGCTAGCCAAAGCTATCCTGGGTCTGTAAGGTCGACAATGGTTTGTATTTGCTACAAAAGACAGAAATAAACGACCAGAAGTGCAGGAACCAGAACCTTATACTTTCCGCACCAGAAAAAGCGGTAAAAGAGGAAGTGATCTGACCGGTGTGCCGACAGGAAAACATTAGGGGGGGGGGGGGTTGCACTTAGCCCTCTTTAAAAGCTCTAGTGGGCGCCGACTGGTCGCTCAACAGGACATAAGCTAGTATATGTACACAATAATAAAAGCTATTTGAAATGTGACAAATATCGGTACTTAAAAACATAACGTTCTATACCTAGTGATTTTTTTTTTCCAGTCCCGCCGCTCATGATTTTCTGGTTGAAAAATGGGGTTTGGGAGGGGCGTGGAGATTTTACCAGCCCTCTGTGCTGCGGCTCACCCCTATTCCCCTTTCAACCGAAGAGGGGGGGGGGGTGGAGGGTCTCGTACTTCTGAGCTCCCAGGTTCAATCGTTCCTGTATGTTCCTTCTCGAAACCTCGCTATCAGCACAGCCCATCGAAAAAACAATAGGTCCGTTGCCACTTGTCCTATCTCGTAAAGTTTCAGGCTCACAATGGCTTAATATTCCTCCAGCGTCATGTTAGTTGACTACTGCCTCCGGAACTACCCTCTCGGTTACTACTGTAATAGGCTCGAGAACGGCAAAGACTGCTGTTCAGCAACTTGACGATTAGGTGTTTGACCGATACCTTCTAGCCTGGTTTACGACAGCGGAAAAGCCTCGGTAGCCATCGGGTAATAAAAGACCTTGCTTAGTCTTTGAGCATTCTATTTGGCTTCCGGGCCGACCCTGCAGAACACCGACCTAACAGTTGCGGCTTTGCACATTGGGATCGCCAGTATGGGTATGGGCGACCGCAGGGAAAGATCGGTTGTCTGGCGTTTTTTCGCGGCGGTGGTATGGATTTGTTGGCATATTGAAGCTTAACGTACATGTTTCGGTTGTTGCCATTGCTAAGGTACAACTCGCTAAGCGTGTGGTGTCATCATCATATTTCCTTGTTAGCTGGAGATGGTCGCTTTAGATTCTGGTCGAGCACGTTCGTTGTTGTTAATGTTATTTGTGAACCTCGCTGATTTTATGTTAAGTTTAAAAAAAAAATGTTCAGTGTGGTAATCATAGTTCCTGGTTTTTGGTTCAGATCAGAACTTGTGGTTAGTGTGCCTAGTTTATTTGTTGCTTGGCTGATCTAGACTGTACAGATTTCTTGTCTGGGCTAGAATGTTTCTAGTCCCCGCCTAACGATTTCCTAATTTTTCTTAGTACTCAGGGCTTTTTCGTTCTAGTACACTATTCTCTCCACCACCATTGTAGCATTTGAGGGCGAAAAAAGTTTCCAAGAAAAAATGCTGTCTGTGATCTCTCTCTCTCCTCCCCCCCCCACCCCTTTTCATATTCAGGAGCCGTAGAATGCCAGTGTTTTCTTAGTCAACGATACTCCCAGAATCGGGTTGATTATTTCTCTTGCAATAATTTCTCCTTGGTAACCCTCATAATGTTGTACTGCTGCGCATAATTTGTCGTTCAGTATTTCTTTCTTTAATTGGCCTCTTAGAACTGAGTTTCGGTTGCATAAAGGCAAGCGCAGTCTGCCAGTCCTATGATGATCGGGTTCTGGAATCCAAACCCATGTGATTTTTTTCATGCTCAACTGGTAAACGAGTATTCACTTCGTCAGCAACGCTAAACACACACCGGAAGTAACCATTGTGAAAGCCAGATTTGTAAAGGTAACTAAAACTCTAAAACTGAAAAGGTAAAGTAGATTATGCTAAAACTGAAAAGGTAGAGTAGATTATGCGGTTCTTAATTTATAACGTACCCCAAACACGAAAATCCCGTGGGAATTCAACAGCTGACCTGACAGTCCATTATTTCAAGGGGTGAAAGTGTGCTGTTGTGTGCTGCTGTTTTTGAGTGTTCATCTAGTGTCTTAGGGTTAGGGTTAGGGTTAGGGTTAGATGTAGAGAAACCGCGAGAAACTAAAACCTGAACACCCTATAATTTATTGGGAATGTCTCCCGTGACGTCGTCGTGACGTCAGGGGTAAGTTATAAATTAAGTACCGATTATGCTATTATTGTTAAAATGAAAGAACATCGACGCATTGTTTCTTGCAAGTAAAAGTTAAATATTAGATGGCATCTCATGTTGATGCGGCCTAAAAGGGTACAAAAGCATTTTTTTTAGAAGTAAAAGTGGCCAGTTTTTCGTTGATTTAGGCGATGGAGTAAGCGTCGAACTGTTCAGCATCCGTGGCTAACTGCTGAACTTGAACCAACACAGTTAAACAGGAGACAGCCCTCATATCGGGGCTGTTAACCCAATCATTTTTTTTGTCTGCATAGTAAAAGCTTCATCTGTTAAACGGGTGTACACAGAGCAGCCGAGAAGTAGCCGAACAACCTCTGGAGTCTACAGCCGATGACAGCGAAGCAGTGGTCTCCGCAAAAAGAGGGGGTAGGGGGAAGTGTCGTATTAGTGCCCTATGACACAAGGGCTATTAACTTTTTTTTTTAAACTATACGTATACTTAGACAGACGTGTTTTTTTTTTTGGAACAACTTTTTAAGACTTACATGATTATAAACTTTTCTATTGTCTCTATTTGCTTTGCACGCTAGGTGTCGCAATTTAAGATAAGACTCCGAACTGCATGGCCTAGTTGTTTGCATCCAGTCTGTTTTCGTTACACACTGAATTTACCTGTACTTTTTTTTTGTTTCAGTGACCTGTGTCCTCGGGTAAAAACACGTAGCAAGGACACGCAAGTACCTTCAAGTGGACAGACTAGTGAAAGAGGACTTTCGCCGTACCTATCTGTACCTCCAGACTCACGCTTACTCCAGTCCATTCTTGTAACCATAGATACCAAACCAGTTCTGATTTCGTCTGCATAGCAACAGAAGCAGCAGAAAGAGTTGTGGGGAGAGACAGAGGGAGGAATTGTGGCGGTGGTGGTGCCTTTTACAGTTGGGTGAATTGTGTGCGAACAGCGCGGCGAGACGCGGGTGGCGACTGCTGCAAGTCGTCGAGTGTGTAGAACCAGTAGCGGCATGTGTTTGTGTGCTGCCACAACTGTTGAAATGGACCCATGCAACACGGCCTGCCGCTGAATGGATTAGCTTTGCTGTTGTGACTGTGAAAGTGTGAGCATTCGAGAAACTGCCAGAGGATTAGATACTCAGTAGGTGTAAATAAAAACCTTCAGCTTCTGGTCGCCGCTGTCGCTGACCCTTTTTTAACGCGGAACTTCTTTTCTTAGTTTCAAGATGGCGAACGCTAGCAATAGCAACGGAGAACCAACAAAGAAAGAGACAACTGTAAACTTCGAGCCTGGCTCTGGTGTAGATGCTGATCAAGTAGAAGTAACTATTCATCAGCCGACTAAAGTTCATAAGCGGAGGAAACATGGATATCGGTTTCTACCGAAGCCGTTTGAGCGGTCCAACGGCAGCTTGTTTAACCCCAGGTTCGACAGCGAGATACTGGAGAATTATCTCATTGAATGTTACTTTCCTCAAGCTAGGAGGTTGTTTAGGAACGCTGTTTACTATGTCACAATAGCTTCAGCCTGTTGGGCGTTGTTTTTCGGGCTTATGCAAATACAATACCCATCAAATCACTGGCGCTACTTTGTTGTGGCCTCCGCTGTGTTGTTTGTGTTCCTCATTGGACTACTCATCTTGACACACACGGCTTTCTTTAAGAAACATTGTAAGGCTATAGGCATCCTTCTAGCACTAGTGTTGATAATCTGTGTGCAGCTTCCGTATGTGTTTGAGGAGCCTGATATATCTCCAGTAGGGACATTTTTTGGAGTGGTGGAAATTTTAATTTTATTCTACTCTTTCTTTCCATTCAACTTGTATTTTGCTGCAGGCTTTGGGGGAATCCTGTCTGTGTCTTACGAAATTTTTACAATGCTGCGCTTCCCACAGATGCAGGCAGTAGACTTCATTGTTTGCAAACTGTTGCTCCATCTAATCATTCATCTGATCGGCACATTTATCTATGTTATGTCCAGCATCAGAGCTCACAGCAGTTTTTCTAAGATTGGCCAGTCAGTCAGTGCTCAGCGAGATCTTATGATCGAAAAGGAGATTAAAGAAAAGATGATCCACTCATTGATGCCTCCAGTTGTGGCAAAATCTGTCATGGCTTCACATCCGTCCAAGGATGAGGATCAAGAGGATGATTCGCCCAAGACTAGGAGGCGGAAGAAGATTGTAAAGGGGGAGATCATTTTCCGAAACTTTCAGATGGATGAGATGAAAAATGTTAGCATCCTTTATGCCGACATTGTTGGCTTCACGAAGATGAGTTCCAACAAATCTGCAGAAAGACTTGTTGGTCTTCTCAATGATCTCTTCGGTCGGTTTGACAAGTTGTGTAATGCTTCAGGCTGTGAGAAAATCAGTACCCTAGGAGACTGTTACTATTGTGTGTCAGGGTGTCCGAACCCCTGCCCGGACCATGCCAAGTGCTGCGTTGAGATGGGACTTAGCATGGTTATTGCTATTCGTGCTTTTGATGAAGATCATAATGAAGAGGTAAACCCTGTTGTCTTTGTCAGTCTGTTATGGTGCTAGTGATGACTGATGATGAATTGGGGTGGGGGTCCTTTTGCAAGGATCATTATAACTGCCATTAGGTTGAGGTAGTCCCATGGCAGATACTGCCATTGGAATATTTAATGTTAGACATTGAGTCCCTGAGGGTTCAGGGACCCCATTTTGGAGGAAACAGACCCACTTCATTCTTTCTGATAAGCATCATGTAGCAGGCAATTAAGGAGTTTGCTGAAATTATTAGAAAATGTCTGCTGTTCTTATGGTCAGTTTTGTTAGGCTAATGCTTCTCAATTAAACCTGAGGCTAATGCTTCTCAGTTAAACCTGCACTTAACTCCACTTGTTACACATTCCTTTGATCTAAGCACTTGAAACTTGTACTTCTTCTTCTCCTGAGTGCTCCTTCTGCATAACTTTTTATCAGTTCACATTGCAACTCACTTCCTTCTATGTTCTTGTTTGTGGTCCTTCACCTATCTTCTAACACTTGAGATCATTGCTTCAATAACACAACTTTCCTTTGGCTACATCAGTCTTTAGTGCATCTTTATTCAGCATAGTGTAGATTGAGCTATTTTGTTCTGCTTTTTGAAATCAGAAATACGAACATCATTTCTCATGTTTAGTAATTTAATAGATTATATTGACATTAGCTTAGGCTTTACACCAGTAGCTAACACAATTCAATTTCTTGGGAGCGATGAGGGTTAGTTTAATCTCAACTGGCTTTTTCTGTCTGCAGACCTGCTAGGTGCGTGCAGAAAGTGTTGCACAAAGCATGAATGCAAAGCGACAATCCCCAGGGGTGTCCGTAAAAGTTAGCTGTCTACTGAACATATTCATGGCATGAAGCTAGAGCCTTCAGTGCACAGGCAGTCAGCCTGACCACCTCACATGTTTTTTAAAAGTTTGACACTGAGATTATAGTTATAGTGTTAGCTTTTGGAGCGTTTAGAAAAATTATACTTTCTTGCATTTAGAAAAAATATACTCGAGTTGCTGTGATTAGTGTTATGTGCATATTAATTCATTACTATGCAACTCACTGTATTGTCATTGGTAAGTCCAAAAAACAATATTCTGGCTTTTCTGTCAGTGCTTCATTATTTCATGACTGACGTGCCACTTTAGTTCCTTCTGTTTCAACCCATTCTGGCCCAAACATTGGCTATCTTAAACTAGAACATCTTGGGTGTTAAGTGATTATGTGTTTGAAGTTAGAAAATGATTTTGACTTTACTTATAAATTGGTTTGTATTCTCTTTAGAGTTGGGACTAGGCAAGACTTCCAACCAAACTCCCAAATGGCCCATCTATTCAGCTAGTTAATTTATTAATCGACTTGTTGCTGTGCACGATTGTTTTTGCCTCTATTCCTTAGCCAACTTGTCTCCCAGTTTACATTAAATTATTCTGTTTAAGTCACTGGCAGTATCACCCCCAGAGACATACTTGTCCAGTATCAGTTGTAAGGTTGCATTTCTTTTATTGTTGAGTGTATATCGAACCATCTCTATAAGCTCCTTTTAGAGATTCCCATACACCATTGAAATTTGCTCCGGCCTTTGAAATGTCATCGATGAAAAAACCTATAAGTATTTAAACTTTTCAGCTGAATTAACCTAACATTCAATAGATAATGAGACTACACAAAGATCAAGAATTCAAGTATCTAGGAAGCAGATTTACGAAGCATGGCAAACTCGATATAGAGGCCAGAGTACAGAAGGCAAATACTGTGCCTACCAGTTAACCTCACTGCATACACACCTAAATGTCTCCCTTCCAGCAAAATTAATAGGAACTTCATCCTTTACACTATCAGTGCCAGGCATGGGCAGTGAATGTCACTAGAACTGACAATATGTGACATGCAGTATCTTTACAAGGTCTAACTGCACCAGATTGCTCAGTTACCAATATCAGCATAAGAGAGATTGGAATAGGACTCTCTGGATTATATTGAGATACAAAACATGAAATTTGGCATCTAATGAGAATGCAGCCAGACCAAACTGCATATGAGACTTTTTACTGAACATATGGGAGGGAGGCAAGAGGAAGACCAAGAAAAAAATGGATAAATGGTGTAGCTGAAACCTGCAAAAAGATAAACAGATCCATCACCCAAACCACCCAAAAAGAAAAAAGAGAAAACCACATTGAGCTACAGTCTGGTATTAGTGAGACAAGAGAGATTCAACAGGCAGAACACCAGGCAGTCCTCCTGTGTGACTGTGTGATAAGGAATATACACAACTTTGACAAGATTTTTGAATAGCAAGTGGAGGGCAAAGAGATAAATACATGCATGATGTGACCATATGGACTGGGCAAGACAAAAACTGACGTGATCCCGATGATCATTTGATAATGAAAGCAAGCCTAAAGATACATAGTGGCGTGATGCATGATAACAAAAGTGTAAACAAAAATGCATGTGCTGTAATTACCTATTTATCATCCTGTGACACTACGCTTTAGGGTCACTGAGTTACACTTACATAATACTTGTATTAATGCACACTTATAGAATGTGTTTCCTTTGAATCCCTCCCGTCTCATCTCCTTTAACATGCTAATGGAATCATTTACAAAATAAATACACATGGAAAGAAGGCTGTGTGTCTCTAGCCATATCATTGCTTTTGTTACCATTATGTTTGTCTGCCGTTAAAAGAACAGTAGGCATGGTTTGTGGTTTTCAGCTAGGCTGCAGTCTCTGCACCTGTCGGTCTAAAAATATTTCATTAACTCATGATTTATTCAGTCACCTTTTACATGCTTTTGAAGGAAGAATGGGCCTTTTCCTGCCAACATGGGGTCCCAGAACCAACATTTTGAGGTTTTATATATTATGCTATATCTTTTTTAAATTTAACTAGATTTAACTGCCTGGCTTCATCTGGGACAGTAAGAATCTTATTTTCCTGTTGTCTGCCTCATTCTTGTCAGATGACCACACTATCTCATTAGTTGCTCTTTGATATTTGTTCTTGGTTTCAGTCCTAGAATTCTCATTTTAAAAAACATATGTAAGTCAAGCAGATTGCTTATTTGTTACCAGGACACTCATGGGGAGGCAAGGAACCAGGACACTCATTGGAGGCAAGGAATTAACACTGTAAAATAATAGCTAGAGAAACCAACTAACCGCGGAGAAGTCGAGAGAAAGAAGAAAAACCCAGCCAAACAAGATAAGGGTAGACTTCTAAGGCAGAATTAAGAGAACTAAAGTTGAAACAGATGGGAGGACATGGGGTGGACTGCATGCAATAGCAAATGATAGAATGACTTGGTCTGAGTTCGTTGAGAGCCTATGCCCCATTGGGGGATAGAAGATAAAAAAATGACTAGGGCTGATCTTTCCATACATCTTACCTCTGATTTTGTGCTCATTAGTTATACTGTAGTAAGGGACATTGGTAACACAGTGAGCCAAAAATGTTATTGGATTTGCTTTAGTAGGCAAAAGTATCTGTTAAAAGTTGTGTTAGTTGTCCAAGTACATGATTTGTATTTGCACATCCCTGTTGATTTCTGTCCATTTTCTTCCAGTGGGAAAAATTGATATGAATTTAAGTGTACTTTGTATTCTCTTTTTGTATATTTCTTGGTGTGGTTTCAGGTTGTAGTTGACACTATTTAGTATAAGAATTGAATATAAGTAAACTGTGATTTGAACCTTTCATTCGAAGGTGTGAATGCGTTGTGCTAGTTTACAGCATGGCTGCAATATTTGTGCCTCTTGGCTGACACATTCGACTTCTGCAGGCATTTGTTGACCGGGCTGGCTTTCCCTGGGGATTTGACCTATACACGTATACATTTACATATAGCCAGATAGAGCTTGATAATAGACACAGCTAATTTCTGTTAGGACGTAATTTCTTTTAGGGTGTAATTTCTGTTGGGATGTAATTTGTTAGAATGTAATTTCTGTTAGAATGTAATTTCTGTTTGGATGTCTTATTGGCTTGAGTGGAAATACTTGTTCCTTCTGGGATATGCTGTCATTTAGAGGAGGCATTATAGGTTTCTGTAGCAAAGAGATAGAAATGGCTTGGCCACGTTATGAGAATGAATCTTGATATACCTGCCAAAACAGCTCTCACATGGATACCAGAGGAAAAGAGAAAAAAAGGGGCGCCCAAAAACATGGAGACGAACGATTGAAAGTGACCTGAGCTGTACCATCTTTGACATGGAAAACTGCACTGAAGATTGCACAGGACAGGAAAGCATTAAAGTCCTCTCTGAAGCCTCATGTGCAATTAGGCATAAAGAGAATTGATGATTGTAGGTTCATAGTCAGCTTGTACCTTTGCAGCCTGTATTTTTCTTTTTCTATAAGGGGTGATTGGTGCCAAGTAGTTTTATTTTCTATGCTGTTTCTTTGGCATAAAGCAGTTTTGTATAGTTTTCTAGACAGTATTTTGACCGAATGTTTAGGTTTCTTTAGCCTTTTGTACGTTTCCGAGGCATGTTTGAAGAGGCATCAGTGTGATACGTGGTGTATGCTCCGGAATTTGCTGTGAAACACGCACTCTTTTTTTCCTTATTCAGCCCTATCCCCGCCCCACCCCTTTTCCCCGTGATGACACCCGGGGCTTCCCGCTCTCACCACTTGTCCTCTTACATATACCACGGGCTACTTAGAAGCTGGTAATAGATTCTGGTATTCCCAGCTGAAGATATTGCATCTATCCATCGCTTGCTTAGTTTAGAAAAGGAAATAATTTAAGTAACGAATGTTAAGCTTTATTGGCCTCTGTTATACGATTTGTTGTTGTTGGATGTGTCCAAGATAGGGATTCAAACATTTGGGCGTTTCAAAGGAATGTCAAATCTTGAGGAATACAATTATACACAGCCACGAGGAAGAAGTAATTTCAGTAAATGTTCGGGTAAAATAACCCTAACAGGAGATAGAAAATGTACAACGTGATTTGTGTATCAAAATCTTTTTCACAGCGTAAA